TCAACATCAAACTATCGATAATCTATGGGGATTAGGGATTTTCCCCTTTTCTACCAATTCTCATGTAAAACCATTTAACCGTTAAATTCTCCCCCCCCCCCCCTTTACCTCAAATTCGATGTTGATGTTGTCGAAGTTTCCCAATCCACACGAATTGTTGATCCTGATGATCTTCTTGCCAAGCTTCAACTCTGGATCGCTTTTGTTCCTCCTCCTTCAACCGTGCGTTCTTACGCTTGCTTCCAATTTTATTTTTCCCAAATGGCAATGTTACCCCTCATCCCAATAATTCTCTTTTTAATCCAAATAACTCATATACTCATAATTCTTTTATTCCAAAAATTCCAATTAATATTATTTCTCTCATAATATTAATATGGGCAATAATAATAATAATTAATAATAATAATATTACTATCAATATTAATTATCACCATTTTCACCATATATTAATATCATGATCTCTTGATTCCTCCAAAATAATTCTCAAAATACACCCGCGAATAAAATAACTCAGAAACCAAAAATAATTAAAATGGGCGTTACAGAACACGCTGAAGTCAACGTCATAGATGAAGAAGAAGAAGCAGATGAAGTCACGGTTGACGACAGGGTGAATAACGAGGAAGAGGGGGTTCCACTCGGCCATGTTTATTGTCCACTTCAACACATGACAAATCTCGACCTAGGTGACGATGAACCCTCAACAGATGTTTTTTACAACCGGAACTACGCAACAGAAGGACTATTAAAATAGGGTGACGAGTTTCGTACAAAATAAGATTGTGTCCGAGCAATTAAACAATATCACATGGACTTAACAGCGTCTTTCAGGAAGAGAAGTGATTCATGGAAGATAGGGTCAATGGGTCCAGCCCACACTTGTATAATCTCGAATCCAATACAGGACCATCGCAAGCTCAGCTCTCAATTAATTTACGATGAGATTCTTTCATTCATTAGCTACAACCCGTCTTTGAAGGTGAGTACCATAATTGCACATATGGTTCAAAGGTACAATTACACTCCTCCATACCGGAAAGCATGGATAGTTAGGACTAAAGCAGTTGAAAGGGTGTTTGGAAATTGGGAGGAGTCTTACAAGGAACTTCCAAAATTCTTGGTGGCTCTTAAACAATACTCTCCAGGAATTGTTGTCATATTAGAGACAATGCCAGCGTATACACCAAAAGGGACTTGCGTTGGTGGAAATGGAATTTTTTACAAACTCTTTTGGGCGTTTGAACCATGCATTAAAGGCTTTGCATAGTGTAAACCTATAATTCAAGTTGATGGCACATGGTTATACGGGAAATATAAGGGCACCCTACTCATGGTTGTGGCACAGGACGGGAACAACAACATTTTTCCAATAGCCTTCGCTATAGTTGAAGGGGAGACTGCTGGGGGTTGGAGTTTTTTCTTAAAAAATCTCCGCTTTTACGTTTCTCCCCAATCTAACTTATGTATGATCTCTGATAGACACCCATCAATCGAGAGTGTATGCAATAACCTTGATAACGGTTGGCAGGATCCTCCCTCGACCCATGTGTATTGCATAAGATATATCGCCCAAAATTTCATGCGGGAAATCAATGATAAAACACTAAGGAAGAAGGTTGTGAACGCAGGATATGCACTAACAGAGCCCACATTCAAACACTATCGTGACAAGATCAGACTAACAAACACGGATGCATTAAGATGGATCGGTAACATTGATAAAGAGAAATGGGCACGCGCATACGACAATGGGAATCCAAAACCTACCGATAACTGCCTTGGTAAATGCAACATATTTTAGGCTAGACGCACTCTTTGATAACAGAGGTACGAAGTGGGGTTCAGTATTACAATCTAGCCAGTTGTACAGTAATAGTTCAACAACATTCATGAAAGACGAAGTTGCCAAAGCCAACACACATGTGGTCACAATCTTTGACCGTAATAAAGGTTGATTCAGTGTTGCCGAGTCAATTGATCACAATGAAGGAAGGCCTAGGGGATGTTATCGGGTTGAACTAGATAGGAGCTGGTGTGATTGTGGGAAGTTTCAGGCATTTCGTATGTCTTGCTCTCATGTTATAGCAGCATGTTCGAAGGCGCACCAGGACCCAACCAACCTTCTTTCTACAATTCACCAAGTGATAAGTCTGTGCAATGTTTACACATGTAGCTTTCAGGTGGTGGAAAAGGAGGACTATTGGCCTCAATACGAAGGCGAAATTGTCTAGCATAATGATTTGATGTGAAGATAGAAGAAGGGTTGCCCTAACAGCACGCGCATTCGAACGGAGATGGATACCGCAAACAAGATGGTAAGATTATGTAGTTCGTGTCGGCAACCAGGACACAATCGTACAAAATGTCCTAACGTAGGATCAAGCACAAGATCATAGTGTCTAATATAACTGTGTCCCTTTAAATCAACAGCAAATTTCATTCCATTTAAAACATACTTAACAGATTACAATTAGCAAGCAACATAAATTAAAGAAACATAACTTAATATCACAACAACATTCCGAAAATAACAACAACAAACTGACATAAAACAGAACAATGCATCAAGGTGTCTACGATATCACAACCATCAATGTTATCTTCTTTGGTGTTAACATCATCACAAGGACACTAGCATCATTTTTCACTTTTCTCCACTCACGAGTAACTCCATTTCTTCCTGACTCCTCGACCAACCTCTCAATTTTCCTAATCTTTTCACCTGCAGCAATATCTCCTAGCCAGCGGTTCAGTTCCCTATGCAAATGCTCCAACATCTGCGTATTCCACAGTAGCACCTTCATCGGAGGCTTTGTTGCTGAAAAATAAACTAGGACATTTCTTTTCATTAGAGGAAATGTTGGAAACGGTTACTCCGATGATGATGACGACGACGAAGAACATTGATTTAGAAATGCAGACATTCTAGACTCCACTCCACTCAAAATTATTAAGACTTTAGTCTTTTGGTATAAATTGTTATGAAAAAATATATGTGTCCGCATTCGTATTTATAGAAAAATAAAATAGTACAGACGTCATATGATATGCCTTAAATACCCTTACAAAATTTATATACTTTTTTTCAACAAATACCAAAATTTTACAACGTAAAATTTAAAAATACCAAAATACAAAAGTGACCTACAATTATATATTTTGAAATTATATATTTAATTATATACGAATTATATTTTAAAATTATATGTTAATCATATATTTATTATGTTTTAAAATTTAAACCTATTTATATTTATTATGTTTAAAAATTATATACAAATATTTATTATTTTATAAAACTATATCAAAAAATTTAAAAATTATATTTAAACCAATTTTTATTATTTTATAAAACTAAAACATTAAACAAAACAAAATTAAAAACAAAAAGAAAAAAGTAAAAAAAAAAAAACGAAAATAGACTGATTCGTCAATCCATTTGGCGAATTTTTTAAAAAAATTTTGCTTTCGCCGGCCCATATGGCGAATCCTTTAAAATTTGCACTAATTTCACATATCATTTGACAACCCAAAGTTGAAATGTTGCCGCTTTAAAAAATAATTTCAAATCTTATTTTATTTGAAAATATTGGTTATTCTAAAAAAATATATAAAAAAAAAAGGGCATTGTATATAGGAAACATTAAACTAATGATTAAAATGGCTTAGTTTAGGTTTTGAACTGCATAGAATTATTGAAACCAAATAAAGTTTAAGGAAGGTTCTTGTTGGGAGAAAGTAGGAATTTTGGGAAGAAACATGCATAGGAATAAAGTCTCTCACTCTGTTAAGTAATGAGAGACATTAAAAAATAAGAAGCAGGCGTGTTTTCACTGTTTTGAACTGCATTGAACGTATTCAAACCCTTGGTAGAAAAGGGTGCAAAAAAAACTACTAACATCATCCTAAAAAATTGAGATGCTTGCAAATAAGAGATCTAGAAGCACATGCATGTTTCCACTATTTTGAACTGGATGGAAAATATTCAAACCAAACAGGTACTACCGTTTATCTTAAGTTCAATTATGTTAACAAAGTTATGTTTATCTAGTAAGGATCTCAGTCATCAGTCATCGTTGTAGTGGAAATAGCAACTACATGTGTATACGAGTGTATACAAGTCCAACTACTTTATAAATAGCTGACTCACCCTCCTATGTATGATACTCAATAATCAATACTCTAATTCAGTATCTTCGTACATTTCTTCTTACTGTAGTATTGACTATAATAAAGGATTGTGTTAACTTTTAAACTAAAGACACAAATTAAAAAAATTAAAATACTATGGAGCAATGTATGTATTAGAAAGAAAGAAAAAACAAATTTTATACTTTTGTAAATATCAATACATAATTTACAAATAAAGTTTTTTATATTTAGTCTCTTAACTTGTGTTGAGCACAAGTTAGCATTTTCCTATAATTAAAGAAAAAGGAGATAGTATTATTGTAGAAGATTCTTTTGCAAGAAAAATCTGGATTCTTCTACCCATTGAACATCTGATGGAAGTAACAGAGTTTCATGAATGTTTCAACAATCATTGACTAAGAAGTGATTACAATTTGTAATTAATGAAGAATAACGATACATGATACATAAAGTGATACAAAATCAAATTAAAACAATCACATTTTTCAAAAAATCCAACCAAGTCATTTGACTTACCATCCTTACCAATCTTACACAAAAATCAAAAGGTGAAATAGTTCTAGCAATTTTCCATTATTGAAGAGACCAACACCATACTCTCAGCACACACAAAAACTAGTTATGTTCAGCTGAGTGACCAACGTTATCAGTTTCTCAAAAAGATTATAGAAAAACAAGATTTCCTCATTTCATTTGTCCCAAATGAAATTAACTTTAACTATTAAGAATGAACTACCGAGACAGACATCGTGAGAGATTGCATAAAATCCCTTTTGAGCAAACCGCTGACGGAGAAAAAAAGAATTACAAATTCCATATAAAAGCGTACTAAACATGTTAGTTATTTAACTGAGCTGGCCTACTGGAAGATCCTTGCTTCCTTCAACTAAAAATGGAATTGGTTTCTTTGGGGCAGGTAGCCGGCCAATGCTATCAACTTTATCCTTTTGCTTTGGAGGAGGTCTAGCTGCTTTAGGCAACAATCTTCCCTTCTTCTCAAACCACTCTGGCTTCAACAGTGCCCGGAAGCCTAACTTATTGTAATACACCTTTCTGACAGACCCACCAGCTGCTTCAACTGCTTCCTTGGCCCTAACAGTGACCCTTGTTACCTGTAAACCCAAAATGTTAAAATACATCCATGTTATGCTTAAAAAGTTTATCAGTATATAAAACCTATACTTATCTTTAGAATTTAAAAAATATATATCTATTATGCATTTATACATCCCATTGATAAACAAAAGCATAACATGTAATCATAATCTAAAATTATGTAAGTTTAATTGCTTATTTGAAAGTATTAAATGAAAAATACCTTAGAGAAAATTAGCTTATAAACTTTGAAGATACAAGAGCTATACCAACTCTTCATGACAAAAATCGAAATTCCAAAATCTCAAGCTAATATTTTTTTCTTTATTCTTAGACCAGACACTATAAAATATTTATTTTGCCAAGGTCAAAATATGGATGCCCCCATTTTTAATGGTTTATGCTTGGCAATAGAAAAAGGAAAGTGCAGGCTCTCAAGCCAGCATCTAAATAATCCTAGATAAATGATTTAACAAAGGTGAGATGAGTGATTAGCAATGATGCTTATGACCAGTGGCTAAATTCATGATATTAAATAGAGAAATGTTCAAAAAAATATTTTAAAAAGTATTTCTGAAGTTTAGACTTAAGAATCAAAAAGCATTATTGTGGTCCTCAAAAACACTAATTACTTAGCCTTCAACTAAATATATACCTCTAAATGAATTGGCCATTGGATCTTTTCAGAACCACGTCCCATCAATCTTACTCCATCTTTAATTTGCTTCCCGAGTACCCCTGCATCCTATGTATGGTGAAAATAATGACCAAAAGAATGAGAGGGAGCACATGAAGCAAACAAATCTATTTTAAGTGAGGAAGTGGTCACAAAAACCTTGAGTGTTTTCATTGTGATCAGTTCAGAAGAATCTATCTTCCCCGCATTGATAAACGTTGCAATTTTTCCCAAACCTATTGGCTGCAAAAGAAGATATAAAAAAGATTGAGTATATCAATACATATGACTAATAGATTGAGAAATAAAGGGAAAGGATACACAACCAAACAGAGAAGGTCTAACAATATGAGCTAAAACCATGGCTAGGGGCAATATAACTACTCCATCAAAACTTATCTAGGCATTAAAATAATAATTATTAAATAATTAAATTATGCACAGAAAATAGTCTTTAATAAAACTTGAATTGGTCTCTAGAAGAAGTTACTTATCGCATACAAATTTGTTGGCTTAAATCTATCAATCAAAATGAAGTCCAACATTTGGCATTATGTCACTATATCAAAAATCACAGTTAAAATACATCACGTGAATATCCCTCAATACAATAAAGTGTAAACTGTGACATATATTTATTGCCGGCATTCACAATACTCTTTAGTGGCTATCATAATTGGCAATTGACGTGTGGAAATATGAAGTTCTTATCAATCAAAACCAACATAGTAAGCCACTCGACCATATATATTCACAGAAGATTATAGAGTCCTTGAAAGAAAAACCTTATCTTGCAAATGATGTCTTGTAATAAAATTAAAACCTAATATTTGCATTAAGCATAGCACTTCAGCCTCAGAAGGATGCTCAGGTGCTTCCTTTTTAATATTCCAGGAGAACTGGTTTTCTTTATCTGAATGGAATACAAGCAAAACAGTCTTTGTTGGTCTTAATAAATGTGCAAAAGAACGTCTGAAAAAGACTCAGATGGAGAAATGTGCATTGTTGCTCACAAGTAACCATCCATAAGTCTCAGTATTACAATGTTCAAAAGTATAGGAATTCGGAATTCCACACTTATAAGTAATGAACTCTAATAATAGATACTAACGCATATTTTCATTTTTCATGATGCAACAAAAGTCAAAGTTCGGGTTAAATACAACGAAAAAGAAAAAGCATTAAACAAAAAAAATGATATATAATCAGGAAAAGATATACCTGAAAAGTGAGGCTAAATGGGTTCTTGAAGCCACGTTTAGGCATCCTACGACGAAGAGGGGTTTGGCCTCCTTCAAACCCCAATTTTGAACCTTTTCTGGCTCGCTGGCCCTTATGACCCCTTCCAGCAGTCTTGCCCTTTCCGGACCCAATACCACGACCTTTCCTTGTCTTTTGTTTTCGGGGAACTTTACCTCTTAGATCATTCAAGCACAGAAGACTATAAGCTCTAAGACCATGAAAATTTGGGTGTGCATTGGGATTAAATGTAGCACCAACATTGGCAGAGTGAGGTGAGAGCTGCAAGGGATTAAATTGGACAGATGGAAATCCGAGAGCGGATTTGTTGTAAACCGAACTTCGGATGATTGAAGTCGAGAGAACAGAAAGCCTTCTCCTTAGCATTTTTCTTCTATTCTATTCTTTTACTAACAAAGAGGAAGTGTAACTTCGAGACAGTAACAACTTCAAACCTTAAAACCAACACAAATAGAACCATAAACAAAAAGGTTTTAAAAAATCATATAATACGAACCACACATTAGTTTATTAGAATTACAACTCCAATGTTTGGTTCCACTTTTGAAGGAGCCAAAAGTGATTCTAAAGATGTGGAATTGATTTTGACATGTTTGGTTCCTCTAAAGTAGAATTGAGTTTGCCTCCAAATATTTTTCTACTTGAAGTTAGAAATTATAGCTTTTGATACTAAAATTGATTTTCAAACTCAAATTTATTGTTCAACTCAATTTTATATGAATATATCTAACCATAAATCACTTTACATTCAAGTCACTTTTAACTAAAATCAATTTTACAAAATCAATTCATTTAAAATCAATTTTCGACACCGTAGAACCAAAAACATGTGTAGTTCAAATCCAAGTTTCCAATCAATAAAAAGAAGTGAGTGTTGTATACAAAACTCAAATGGCAAAATGTGCAACCAACAATAAAACCAATAATCCTAACATGAAAAACCAGCTCCAAAGTTATAAACCTAGAGAACATGTAAGGATCAAAGAATGGCATTGTTCAATGTGATATCATATCTGCCACATAAATACAATCTCAAAAATAAAGATTTTCATAACTAGAAGCATGCAGTTATGATCCACATTACAAAGAAATACAATTTCATACGTTCAAGTGTCAAATAAAACCTCCTAAAATGCAGTTCTTAAATTCACATGATGATAACATACACGACTCCATGACATATTACAGCATACAAGAGAGTAATCAAACACTTAACCATTCTTTGGAAATAAGAAACACAAACCTATCCAACAGTTTTTCAGGCACTTCATGATTCAATTCATGAACTTAACTAGCATCCATCCGACAATAATATTTCAGTTTCAATTCAAATATTTAGACGGAGAAGCTACAAATTAACCATCACATACCCATTACAAAATCAATGAAAGTAAACAACAAACATCACAGAATAGAATCACATCCCAAAATGGCCTTGAGAAGCAATACTTTGTATTAGATATATGTCAAAAAAGATTCGTTTTTTCATATTTAGTAAATTCACATATATAAATTAAATTAGTAAACTAGTTTTAGTTATTAAAACCTAAACATTGAAAATGACGGAGCCTTAACCTTGAGGCTCGAAATCTCAAATAAACCAACCTTGCAGTCATGTACATTAGTGACATTACAATACTAATGATATTCAACACATACATGATTGAAATCTAGAATAATCCCGTTGCAGGAGCCCAAAGTAAGCCTACACGCAGAGATGACACCTCTAAGCCCAGAAGAAAAATCCTTACAACTAGTAGTTACTCCTTCACCGCATTTTATTAAGATATCTCAGTAATATCCACATCAACATATTGAAACTAATAAACCCTTAATCAGTGGAATATATCATTGCAAGCAGCATATGAATTGATTACATGGATCCAACTAAGAAACGAACTCCCAAAATTCCTTTTGACTAAAAGCCTAAAGAAAACCCTAATAATAGTGTACTGACCTGTAAATTCAGGAGAGGGTGTTGGTTGCGGCGCAGCGAGGTGGAAGATTGTTGTGGTGGAGGAGAGTGGTGGACGGCGCGGTGGGCGGAGTTTTGGGCGGCAAGGTGGCGGGGAGAAGAATTTTCGGCGATGGCCAGGGAGGCTACCGGTCGCGACAGTGAAAGGGATGAGAATGAGGGAGCGAGACGTCGGAGTGAGAAATGAGAGAGATCAGAGTGTGAGTGGGAAAAGGTAACAGTGAAAAAATATTTTTACACTAATTTTTTATGAGATTAATATGTAAAAAATGATAATAACAGGATATCAACTCTATATATTAAAAAATCCATTTATAAAATATTTGTATTAAAAAATTAATTTTATATTTTTATTTAAATTAAAATATAATTTTTAATAAATTTTTAACTGACACAAGTTAACATTATTCTTACAACGATAATGTTTGAAATACTATTCTGGAGACATTATTATTGAGAATTTTATTCGGAATTTAATTTTTTAAAAATATTTATAAAATATATTTAATTTAAATTTTAAAATAAAACATAAATGAATTTAAATATTTGGAAATGAGAAATTATGTGTAATCACCTCTTACTCTTAAGAAAATGAAACATTCACACCTTATAATATATGGAAATAGAAATTGACAAAAAGATGTTTCTTTCATAGATTTTAAATTTATTTTCAAAAATGTTACATTATTTATTTGTATTTTCATATTTGTTTCAAGAGTTTATAAATTATTTTTTGAATTTTTTTTATCACTGTAAGTTTATTTTGAATTTTTTACTTAAATAACCCAACTTTTCAAAAAAAATTTCAAAATAATCCACCTTTTAAAATTATTCTTAAGGTATCCTAGTTAGGATTTGTGATTACACAAGGGTGTCAGATGGATTGGCAACACCTTGTTAAGGCTATAAGGGAGTCGCCAATCAGATTGGAGACTCCTCATGCAGTCTCCAATCCAATTGGCGACTTGGTGTTGAACTTACAAGGGAGTCGTCAATTTATCTGGAAGCCCCATGTATTTTGAAATTTTTTTCAAAAAAATAGATACTTTCAAAAGTAATTAATAAAATACGTCAGAAGGGAAAATAAATGTTATCATTAATTAAAAAAAGTATTACATAAACTAATATTGGCGACCGGGTTAGTCATATCGGCCACCAGTTCCACATCCCCTAGGCACCCTAACTCGTTGCGCTCGTCCCCCACGTTGTTGATTAACGCCTGGTGTTTGAGGAGTTGAAGTCTCAGGAACATTTTCAGATGGTTCCTGAAGGATCTCTTGCATTTCCATTAGGTCCTGAATGTTGAAACTGAGCGTGCGACCCATGTCAGAGTAGTTCAGATGTGATGAAGGGGTCATGGTGTGCGGCCTGGACGGTTGAAGGGGGACATTAGTGTGAACGATTCATTAGAGAAAGGTTGAAATGGTAGTGGTGTTTGAAAGCTATAAGGTTGTTGAGATGGTTGAGTGGGTAGGCCAGGGTATGATATGGGGCGCTTTGGCTATGGAAAGATGTTTGAGCGTTATGGCTATGGTATGATGTACCCTCGTTATGGCTATATCTTGATGCTGTGTTGGGGTCATAGTCATATTGGGATTCTGGGTAGTAGTCAGTGTGTGGGAGATGGTATAAGGGACAATCTTGGTATTGTGGTTGGGTGTTTGGCATGTTTGGATGGTGAATGGGTTGGTAACTCTGTTGGGTGGGGGGTTGTGAGTAACATGACCTTTCTGGTGGGTTAGATGTTGAAGCGTCTTGTGTGTAGGTGGTTTGGCGTGGGTCGTATAAATATTTGTCTTCGGAGCTAAACCCAGTTGTAACTGATCTGTACCAAGCCATATAATTAATAGTTGGTATAGATGGTATTGCCATCACCGGGTCACGTAAGACATGAGTGTGACGGGCCATCCATTTACGACGCTCAGAGTTTGCAAAATCCTTCCAGTCGGGAAACTCCCATTGATCATTAACTCATTTTAGATGTCATTTACTGATGTCAACAGGAGGATCTGGAATGTTTTGATGCATTCCAAATTGTAGTTTGACACGGTAATTGTTGTGCATCTCCACAGTTGTGAATCTGATGATCGGGACGCATGTAATACAAACAGCAACATCTTCCTGTCTGACTTCATGTAGGTGTTCCATGTTTAGATATGGATGCCATATGAACTGAAGAAGAGAAAAATATTAGATCATTAAATAGTTGACATAAAATACAAATTGATGTAGTTTAGAGGCCTTACATCTACAAATGTTAGGTGATCTAACAAATTGCGGTATTGAATGATACAATGTCTAGGGCATCTATTGTAAGTCATACCCTTAGCCGACCATCTAAACCAAAAACAGTTCAAACTCAATTAGTTAGAAATAATAATTATTAAGTGAAATAACCAAAGATTAAGTGATGAACTTACTTTTGTGCATACGGGAAGGAAAAGTCGTTGTGGTTGACGGTCGCTAGGGATGGCAATCTAGACCAACCCCATGCTTGGAGCAAAACGGCGCATCCAGAAAAAGTATATGTGTTTTTTTTCGCACTTACATAAAGAGCTATATAAATAAGACAGACAAGCGAAGCCCCAACTATACTCTCTTGTTTTAGTCATGTCTCTTAATAAAGGTAAATACATTATGTGCATAGAAGAATCAGTGTCCTCGGGAAATAAAAATAAACCAATTAAAAGCATTAGATAACATCTGGTTTATATTATTTTCATTTCCTCTATAAAATCTTCATCTAATATAAAACCGGTGTATCATGATTTTAGGCGCGAAAGTAAGATATCTTGGCCTCTCGAGTTCTCATCTAGCAAGTCGGCACCCAAAAGTTCCTCACAAATTGAACTATTAAGGTTTGTTGTTCCATTGACCGCCTTGTCATCAATACGTAAACCGTGTAACATGTACACGTCCTCTAAGGCCACGGTACATTCATCGATTAAAAAAAAGAAGGTGTGTGTCTCTGGGCGCCATCTCTCTTGCAAAGCTAGTATAAACTTTGCATCAACGGAATAAGACATGATTTTGCTTACATGTCCGAAGCCGACGAGCTCAATATATGGTTGAATTAATTCGTTAGGTGCAACATATTCATGGGCACGACACCGAAACTTAGAGACTTCCTACATAATAGTAAAAAAAATATTAGACTTAAAAATTAGAAGAGTTAAAAAAATTATAAGAGTAAAAAAAATTAACAGAAACACTAAAAATTAACATATACAAAAAACAATGAACACTTACATAAGTCGCGATATTTGCGACAGTGCCTCTATGTGTTTTACCCATGTCAACAATGCCATTAAAATTGATTAAATGTGAATCAGATAACTAGTATACTGACACAAATAGACTTGATATTACCTCTTTGCAACAAGTAAGAATC